CGAGTTTCGGAATCGATGTTGGTGAACTGTAATAAAGCCTTAGTAAGGCGGTCTGAAAAGGAGGTAGGATTTTCGTTTTTATCTTGGACTACTTCCTGGAGTTTTTCATAGTTTACTGTCTTTTGGGCAGCCCGTTTGAGCCCCACCACAAGACAAGTGAGGAAGTGGTCTTGGCGAGCCAACCTGGGAGGGGTGTTATAATCCCAGTGGGGGTTGATCTCTGGGATGGCCTGAGCCCTGATCACCTGGGTGGGGTTGGTCTGGTGGACCTCATCTCCATAGGATCTGGCCTCTTGCCAGACCCGCCTGCGTTCCTCTGGCAATAAGGTGTTTGCAAGAGTAGTGTAGGCATCATGAAAAATTAAACTGTAAGCCTGGCAGAGATACTGAAACTCTTTAGTATAAGGAACAGGGTTAGTTGTGTATGAACCTACGTAAGCGCTTTTCAGTTTGGGAAAGATCAGTCATGGAAAAAGGGACGTGAACCCTAACAATACCTTCTGTGCAGGCCACCTCAGGGAGTGGGGCCAAGAGTGGCATCTGAGTTGTGGGGGGGTGGGGGGGCTTGGCCTCATGGGTCCAACAGCAAGTAGAAGGCGGGCTGGATGGGTGTGGTGGCGAATGGGGAGCGGGAGGCATGGGAGGCACTGAGGGTTGGGGTGGTGGTGGAGGGGCATGCTGCCGGTAAGGAGGAGGTACATCCGGCGGGTCGAAGTTGGACGAAGGAGAAACAAAGTGGGTGGAGAAGGCTTGCAGGTTAATAAAACTTGGTTTGGACTACAAGCGGTGCATAAGGTGGGATTTGACCAAAGGTAGGAAAAAGCCTGGATATGGGGGATTTGGGCCCGTTTTCCCGATCATTCACAAAAGTTATACAAGTCCCGAAGAAAATCGGGGTTTAGGGACCCAAAATGAGGCCACCTATTTTGGTTGTCTAAATCATAGTCTGGCCACTACTTGGTAGAAAGCCCAATGAGCTTTTTTGGCTCAATGACTGGGGCCAGGCCCAAAGTTTTGAGATTATCCAGGAGGCATTTTAGAGGGGAGTCGGCCGGGAGAGATGAAGCACCCCCCATGATACAGGGAGTAGAGAGTACCGTGGCCTAAGGGGCGTCCCCACTTCAGATGGGGTACTGAGAAATCTCAAACCCTGGAAGCCATCGTCACCGTTTTCCTGGTGGTTGAGGGACCATAAAAGGGACGTACAGCTGAGGCGCGCCTGGTGCCGGAACTCTGGAATGCCTATTGGCAGAAACGAAAACCCCACAGTGAGCGAGAGTGAGTGGGAAAGGGGAACTTCTCGCCTTGGCCAACTCCCAGTGGGGGTGGGGGGAGAGAAAGAGAGAAAGAGAGAGAGAGGTGAAGCCGGTATTCCTGGAAACTCACTGATTAGAAGGCCGATGGTGGATGTGCTAGCGGTGATCGGGAAAAAGGGCCGGGCTGAGTATCATTACAGGTGGAGGCTTGGGGCCATCGGTGGAGAGACAGATGGGGTCCCACTGGTGGTGGGGAAGCCCAATCTGAGTCATGGCACCAATGAAAGGGATGGCCCAGAGTCGCAAAGAATTACACCGAGAGACAGATACTCAGCCAGAATGTATATTGGAGGGCTTCAGGGGCGAGCGGGTGGGCTGCCCTCTCAAAGCGGGAGCAGCC